CCAATTTCTCATGAATTGTAATCGCGATTTCATCAAAACATTCTAAATAATTCAAGGAAAAATATTCATACCGTACCTATAACCATAAATAATACTAATTATGTATTATCGTGATGCGTACAGCTTTTGTTTGCGGAACGACGCAATTCTTTTAGAGACTTTCTCTGTTCTTTGCCCCCCCCCCACCCCTATTCTAGTTCTGAATTTGTCTTATTTTTCTTCTAATTTTTCTTCACTGTTACGGATCTGTCTCTCAAATAATGCATTTCCGTGTTTTTTTTCCTGTTTGCAAAAGTTATGTCCCTTTTTCATTGTTTAGCAGCCCCGAGGTTTCTTGACCGGACCGCCAAAGAAATAAATCAGGGGTTTTTCGTGTCCTATTTACAATACGGAGCTCCTCTCTATTGTTTTGACACGTGAGGTCCATCACCAACCTCAGTAAAACAAAGGACCCTTACGCTTCTGGCTGCATCTACCTGGCTAATGATGTTTAAAATGGAATGCCCCTTCCTAAAGTTCCGTGAAGTTCGGGTTTCCTGCGACTGGAAAACAAGGAAATAGTTTCTAGAATACATCCTAATTGCGAGATGGGTCAGCAAGGGGGGGGGGGATTTTTGTGGTGGCTACAGACAAACAGGTTACGAGCTTATAAAAGGGAAAGCCCAACCCTAAATTTGAGTCAGTTTGGGTTCAGCAAGCAAAGTAGTTCAATGGGTGAGCAGGTCAGGGGGTCAGTGGTGTTGTGTTGTAGTGGTATAATGCAGTCAGATACCGGAATCGCATCACTTATGCTAATTTCTAATCCGTGAGTGCACTGTATGATATCTTATTCATAGCTTCTACTGTCATAAAATTTCAAGTTTAAATTTATATCCTCTACAATTTAAAAACTTATTTTTTATTTTTTTCATTTCAAAATTATTATATTTTTATTTAGATTTTAAATTTATTCTTTTTAAATTTTGAAATTTTTATTTTTCAATTTGATTTTTAGTTTAGTGTTTCACATAATTTTTTCCAATTTATTCATCCTCAATAGATCAATAATACATATATATTCCTACTGCTACTACTGTATACTTACTACTACTCATACTATACTTACAATACTTGTATACTTGCTAAACTTACTAGATTTACTTACTACTACACTACTTACTATGTACATACTACTACTACATACATCCTACTACTACATACATAGTGGATATATTCTATTGATCTATTAAGTATGAAAAAATTGTTAAAAATGATGAAACATTAATATAAAAATCAAATTGTAAAATAATTTCTACGTCTAAAATTTAAAAGATAAAAATTTTCAAATAAAAAAAAATCAAAAATTTTTAAATTCAAAAATATAGTTTTTAAACTGTAAAGAATATGACCTTTTTTCTTAAACCAGATTTCTTCCCCCTCTTCAAAAGCTCTCACTTTCCTCACTCTTCTTCCTCATTTGTATGTATCTTTTCTGAATTGACAAGAGATACGGTTAGATAAGAAGTAATTTTCAGCATTTTGATCACACAGAAAATTGATTGACTACGTGTTCATTTTTCTCTCTAATAACAAACTAGTTTTGCTCTCTGTGTTAATTTTTTTACTTTCATTTATTTATTTTTTCAGATACACACAGGTACAGTGTGAACACTACTTTTCGTGTGAAACGAGCACAGTAAAAGCTGTTTCACCTTGTTTTATTTACTGTTTTTTTGTGAATATACCTCAAACTATTTTTCCTCTTTTTGCACGGTTTCAACTGTTCAACTAAGTTTCATTTTGCGTCTTATATTCCGTAACCTCAAACTAATTTTTTATTTTTTTTTTTATTTTTTTTTATTTTTTTTTTTCCAGATCGGCAAGAAACGAGCACAGTGAAAGCTGTTTTACTTCATTCCATTTGGTTATTTTAGTTTTATTTCAGACACTTGCTTCATACTACTTTTTTTTCTTTCTTCAACTAGTCCTTCATTCATCTTTGATTAAAATTCCCTTCCCCTCCTTTTGCAGTTGAATTGCATTTTATAATATTGTGAACTACCACTTTTGACTCACTTTAAAATGACTAGTTAGTCGCTCACAGAACTAATGGTGAAAGATAATGAACAAAACTACTTTTCCACTAAACTTTTTATTTTCAAGTTAGGTTAAGGTGATTCGATGGACGTCATATTTAGTGTCAGAACGCCATGCAATATATCGCATCGATTGGTTTCATTTTTTCAGCTACTCATCATTTTCCTCGAATTTTGAGATCGCAATTTTCTTGCCCAGAGACTAAAGAATTCACTTACCAATTTTCACAAACAAATTCAACGTATTAAGAGCATGGTTTTTTTTAGAGGGAAAATATTGCATTCGACACTGATATTGAAACTACACTTGAATGCGATATTTTCCTCTGAAAAAAACCACGCCTTTATTACATTGAATTTGGTTGTCGAAATTGATATGTGAATTCTTTAGCCTCCTGGCAACAGAATTGCGATCTCAAAATATGAGAAAAATGGTGATTAGCTGAAAAAATGGGACCAATTGATGGGATATATAGCATGTCGTTCTGACACAAAATATGGCGCCCATCGAATCACCTTAAGCTCCAACTAATCATACTTTTTTTTATTCTTAGTTTGTTTCAGGTCTGCAAAAAACGAAGAAAATGCTCCGCATGATGCTCCATTGAAGACGGAAGTGGTGCCCTCCAAAATGTGTACCTATTTGTTCTATCGTATCCTTGACTTGAAAGCCCTCAGTTGTAAAAAGATATTTGAAAAGTATTTGCAACTCCTTTCAGTTCTGCATGGTTCTTGTGTGATACTATCAAACAATACTGCATTCAACTGGAAGTAATTGGACTGAATTATGTAGAAAGGAGTTAACTCTTTCGATTCATGGTAGAAAAGACATAAATGCCATAAATTTTCCTTAATGAGCCAGAAAAATTAGTTTCTTTTGACGTAATACAGTTCAGTTACTCTACAGCTGAATGCAAACTTGCAATTAACAAGAAAAATAAAACCACAAACAAACAAACATGGCCCAGACTGTACATAACAAGGTGGTAAAATATTGCTGCGCCCACACAATTTTGCTGGGAAAATAAGGCCAAAAAGTTAAAAAAATCAAAAGTTCTTCTTGGCCTTGTTTTACCCTCAAAATAGCGTGGACCCACCACTATTTTGCCACCCTTTCCCCGTTAACGCTGCATGATATAGCCCAAAAGTAATACAGAACTGCAATTTAAATTTGAAAAAATAAGTGATGCCTAAAATTTGGATACATTTTAGCATGGTGCCTTAATTAAAATTCTGACAAGAGATAAATGGACGTATGCACGTTAAAAGGAAGTAAGTTGCATGCAAATAGTTCCTTTCAGCATGCATAAGTCCACCTTAATAATGGATGATGATGAAACGGAACTTTTAGATACGTAGATTAGGGCTTAAATAGAAATGTAGAAGCCAGTTTTGTCACCTGCTGCTAATCATACTAATAATTCTTGATTTTCCTTGTTTGTTTCAGATGCGGCTGAAGAAACGGGCTTGGGGGGAGGGCTCGCTGAGGGGGGAGGTTCCCAGGGAAGGGGGGTTCGTGGGGTTGGGAAGTATCGCGGAGTAAGGATCCCCAAGGGGGGAGAGTCCCGGGGAATGGGGGGTCCGTGGGGTTTGGTGCGGGCTCGCGGAATAGGGTTTCCCGAGGGGGTTCCCGGGGAGAGGGGGGGATGTCCGTGGGGTTTATGTAGGATCGCGGAGTAGGGTTTCCAAGGGGGGAGGGGGCCGCGGAGTAGAATCACGGGGGGAGGAGTAGGATTTTTTTTTTCTTTTTTTTTTTCTGCGACTGGCTTGCTGAGATCCTCCGGGGCGTTACGTCCCGGGGTCCGCCGTCGCCGGCAGGGGCGCCCGTCGGGACCCCGTGGGTCCGTTGGGCGTCCCTGCCCCCGACCCCCCGCGAGGGGGGTCTTTGCCCCCCCGCAAGGGGGGGCTTTTTCCCCCCTCGCGGGGGATCGGGGGTGGGGCGCCCAACGGACCCTTATGGGGTCCCTGCGGGCGCCCCTGCCGGCGACGGCGGCTCCGGGGCGTT